GGCGTGCCTGTCTGCTCCAAATATCGTTCCTCTCCCTAACACAGCTCTGAGCTCCCAAATTTCATGGTCGCCCCTTCTATTCTCTGCCTCCTAAATACCTAGCTGCCTGAACATAACCTGTCCCACTCCCCCTCCCACAATCCGAAGTCCTTATCGCTAAACTTGTTGCCCCCACCACATACCTTAGGTGCCCCCCTCCCCGCACACTTAGCCTCTCCCCCGCCCCCCAGACATCTGAGTAACCCAAGCACTGATCCTTGCTCCTCCACCGCACTGTGCATTCCTTCCTACCTATTCTAGGCGTTGACTCTTTTCGTCAAGGCCCAACCAACTTCCCTAAGATCTCGGTCTCAACTTGGGGTGTGCTGTCAAAACTCCCCACAGGGTCTCAACTCCTCGGCCACTCGGCCCGTGCGGGTTGGCCGCGCGATGCTCCCGGTGACCACTAGAGGGCAGGCGTTCCCGGCCAGAAGGACCGGCCAGCCTGCCACTCAAGGTGGAGAGTTGGGTAGGAACGACCTTAGGCTTCGGTAGAGCCCCAGTTTCGTCCTTTTTAAGTGGAAATTTCCCCCCACCGCCTTTCTCAGGAGCAAGCCAAACAGGGACCCAGGCTACTGGAAAGCCTGGCAGGGGCGGAGACTGTGGTTTTCAGAGTACAGGGAGCGGTTAGAAGGGTGGAGCTATTCCGGGAAGTGATGGGGGGAGGGAGCCTGAAACTAGCGACTTGTCCATTATTATCCAGCCCCCTTGTGTCCTCTCAACTTATGGAAAGCCGTTTTTAAGGATCCGCAGAGAGAATAGGAAACGGGATTGGGGAACCTAGGGATGGGTTTCCCTGGGCTAGTTGTCCAGGGCCTTTCTGTGCTCCGTTTCCCCATCTTGACCATTGCTCTGGGGCTAAAACCAGAGCCAGGGGGCCCCAGGTCTCCTCCACAAACACACCTGGGGAAGTCAAGGAGAGCTTGGTAAAAGGGGGGAAGCCAACTGGAGAATAAACAAGTAGTCATAAGATTGAGTGATTGGAGCCCAAGTACCCTACACAGGAATGGTTGGGGAGGAGGAGGAAAAGATAGGGGAGGGGGCGGAGTTTTGTCACCTGTCACCTGCTCTGGCTGTGCCTAGGGCGGGAGGGGTACTGGTATAAAGCAGCGGGCACCAGAGCTGCTCCACCGCACACACGCCACAGCTCCTGCCTTGAGTCTGTTTCTGCCCTCTTCCCGCCTCTTCACCACCACCATGACCCCAGGCATCCGGGCTCCTTTCTTCCTGACGCTCCTTCTAGTGCTTGTAACAGGTGAGAGGCATGAGGTTGGGGTGGAGGTGCGTTGTTCAGGTGGGACTCCTCACCGTTCTTTTGCTTGCTGTTAGATGGCATAAAGGATAGACAAAGATGACCCAGTTATGTGCCAGAATGAAAGAGGCTAAGGACACAGGCTGAGAAGATGTGACCCCCAAGAGAGTAGGCACCGTAGGAGGCAAATGCTCTGATGTTTGTGGAGGTGGGTTGTGTCAGGAGAGACAATGGTAGTGGGAGAATGGGGCCATGTGCCGCGGTTAGGTTAGGGCCAGCTTGCAGTATGAATCCTTGTCTCAAAAATAAGTAGTGGAGGAATGAATTAGCCAGAAGCAGGGTTGAGTCTTTTAGGGAGGGAGAGATTAGCCAGGGAGGTTGTCAGCAAGGAAGAAGGCAAACAGGGACTGCCTGACGCCAACCTTATACCCCTTCTGGGGTTACTTTGGTTTTGGAGTTTATATTTTTCTCCTTCCTCTGATTTTATTCACCAACCCAGTAGTTTTTACAATTTCTAAATCATGCAGGTTATCCAAAGCAACCTAGTATCCATCTCTGTTGAGAGGTGTGTGAGCATAAAAATGGTCTACTCCCCACCTTCAACTCTGGTTCAGGCTTTCTTGCCCTTCCAGATCAAAACAGTGTCGTCTTATCTCTGGACACCAACAGTTCCCCAACCTTGAATACCACTCCAGTCCACAGTGGTTCTTCAGCCCCAGCCACCAGCTCTGTAGTGGACTCGGCCACCACTCCAGTCCACAGTGGTTCTTCAGCCCCAGCCACCAGCTCTGCAGTGGACTCAGCCACCACTCCAGTCCACAGTGGTTCTTCAGCCCCAGCCACCAGCTCTGCAGTGGACTCAGCCACCACTCCAGTCCACAGTGGTTCCTCTGCCCCAGCCACCAGCCCTGCAGTGGACTCGGCCACCACTCCAGTCCACAGTGGTTCCTCTGCCCCAACCACCAGCTCTGCAGTGGACTCAACCACCACTCCAGTCCACAATAGTTCTTCAGCCCCAACCACCAGCCCTGCAGTAGACTCAACCACCGCTCCAGTCCACAATAGTTCTTCAGCCCCAGCCACCAGCTCTGCAGTGGACTCAACCACCACTCCAGTCCACAATAGTTCTTCAGCCCCAGCCGTGGTTCCTCTGCCCCAGCCACCAGCTCTGCAGTGGACTCAACCACCACTCCAGTCCACAATAGTTCTTCAGCCCCAACCACCAGCCCTGCAGTAGACTCAACCACCGCTCCAGTCCACAATAGTTCTTCAGCCCCAGCCACCAGCCCTGCAGTGGACTCAACCACCACTCCAGTCCACAGTGGTTCCTCTGCCCCAGCCACCAGCTCTGCAGTGGACTCGGCCACCACTCCAGTCCACAATGGCTCCTTGGTCCCAACTACCAGCTCTGCGCTGGAATCAGCTACCAGTTCAGCCCACAGTGGTGCCTCTTCTATGACTAATAGTTCTGAACCAGACTTGGAGACCACTCCAGTTTACAGTGGCACCTCTATCTCTACTACCAAGGCTACTTTAGCCTCTGCCATCACCCCAGTCTACAATGGCTCCTTGGTGCCAACTACCAGCTCTGTGTTGGGCTCAGCCACCACTCCGATCAGTAATAACATCTCTACAATGGCTACTACAACTCCAGTTGGCAATGGTACTCAATCTTCAGTCCCAAGCCAGCACCCTGTCACGCCCACCACTCCTGCTGTCTCCAGCAACAGTACCATTGCCTATAGCACTTACCACAGCACGGCACTCTCCCCTACCTTCTCCAGCAATAGTTCACCCCAGGTGTCTGTTGGAGTCTCTTTCTTCTTGTTGTCTTTTCACATTTGGAACCACCAGTTTAATTCTTCCCTGGAAGATCCCAGCTCCAACTACTATCAAGAACTGAAGAGGAACATTTCTGCATTGGTGGGTATCTGCCGGCCTCTGCCACGCTCTTCTGGAGCAGCTCTTGAGGACTGCATGAACCCTTTGCATCAAACCTGAGTCTTCTCCTCTTATCCCAGTTTCTGCAGATTTTTAACCAAGCTTTTCTGGGGATCTCTACTATCGAGTTCAGGTACAGTTTGGTTATGACTCACAGCGGGAGGGATACTCGTGACTTTGTGATGTGGTGGTGGTGGTGGGGGGAGATGCTGAGCAGATACCTGTGGTTGAGCTGCCCATTTCCTGTGACCAGGTCAGGTTCAGTGGTGGTAGACTCAACTGTGATTTTCCGGGAGGGTGCTGTCAGTGCCTCTGAGGTGAAGTCACAGCTTGTACAGCATGAAAAGGAGGCAGAAGTCTATAATCTGGCTATTTCAAAAATCAATGGTGAGGCAATATCCCCAACTCCAGCGCCTGCTTGCTTTTGGTGAGAGCAGGGGAAGTCCACCTCCTTTGGGGGACTTCCCTGACCACTGTTCTCTCTTTTAGTGAATGAGATGCAGTTTTCTTCCTCTGCCCAGTCTTGGCCTGGGGTACCAGGCTGGGGCATAGCCCTACTGGTGCTGGTCTGTATTTTGGTTGCTTTGGCCATCATCTATCTCATTGCACTGGTAAGTCTCAGGCCTTCACCAATGTGCCCTGGTAAATGGAATCTGATGGGCCAGCATAATCTCCTGTCTCCCCAGACAGTGTGTCAGTGCCGCCGAAAGAACTATGGACAGCTGGACATCTTCCCAACCCAGGACACCTACCATCCTATGAGTGAATACCCTACCTACCACACTCATGGACGCTATGTGCCCCCTGGCAGTACCAAACGTAGCCCCTATGAGGAGGTAAATCTGTCCCACAGGTTGGAACAGGGGCCCTGGCTTGGTGAGGGTTTCTGAAGAGGTACTTGGGAAACCCAAGGAGCTTCAGAGAGGTGAGCGGTGGAGGACTTGGCCAGGTGGGGGATGGAGGGAGAGTTCTAGGGGTCAGATCTTAGGATACTACAGAAGAAAGGAAACGTCTGCACTAAAAGCCCTGCCCTGACTGAACTCTGAACTGTGTGTTCATTAGGATGCCCCAGGTGACACTAGGGGAGCCTTGCCTGAAGGAGTGAGCACTCACCTCCTAGGGGGTTGGAGAGTAGATACAGACAGCTGTGGTGGAAAAGGAGTTTCCTCTAGTGAGAGGAGTGTGCCGAAAGGGTTCTTGGGAGTTTTAGGAAAGCAAGGGCCCCTCCCTCTGTCCTCACTTGGTTTCCCTACAGGATCTAGTAAATAATTACTGTGGCCACCTGAGACTGGAAGGCCAGTGGGTGGGAAAGAGACAAGAGCTTCCTTTCCTTGTTTTCCACCT